TGCCCGCAGGCTGCTGCTGCTGGTCAGCCGCTTTGCCCCGTGCCCGCTGCCGCTGTCAGTTGGAGGAGGAGGGCTACCTTTGGAGACAAAGAACAAAGTATGTAGAACGCCCTTCTGTCGCCGTGCTGTTGTCCCCGCGGTGATGACGCGCGGTGATGACATCGCGACTTTAGCGACACGATTTAATCTCCACTATTTTGCGTAGCGCGGTTTTGTCGTGCCACGAATCCCACAGAACCACTCTGGCTAAGGAGAAGACATGACATCCACTGGTACACCTGCCGAATGCTACTCATGAGGAAACCTCAAGAGTTTCAGTGCTAAGAAAACCATTATGCTCTCAGCCATGATAGAGTCTTTTAAGGACACTGAATTTGCTCACTTACTTTGCTCACTTACTTTCAAATTTGCTTTTGGAAATTATCTATCGTGTTTCCCTGAAAATACAAAAGGGTCTTATTTTCTTTTGCCCCACAAAATATGGAGTTGGGCTTATTATCAGGAAGGGCTTATTGTTTTGGGGTTGCCGGGCCGCTGCTCCCTTGCGAGTGGACTCCTGAAGCATGGTACTTCATGGCTGCTTCGCCCCTGAGGCTGTGCCCAGCTCTTTGGGAGCCTGCTCGCAAGGGAGCAGCCACCCAGAAACTCCCCCCTCCGGCAAGGCAGAATGCCACTCCACAACCTAGTGGTATCCCCAAGGCGCCAAGCAACGTGAGCGCCTTCCCCCCCTCCCCGCTCCAGCAACTTGGCATCTTCGGGATACCGCTAGGTCGGTGAGCGGTGCTCTGCCTGGCCAGAAGGTGGGGTTGTCCAGGGGTTTTATTTCCGGGGGTGGGCTTATACTTTTGCCCACGCGAAAAATGTGGCAAGGCATTAGTTTCAGGACAGGTCGTATTTTGGGGGAAACACAGTATTCAGCTGCTACCTTAAGGATATTACTGGTAGAAATCTTCAAAATGACAAGTTTGAAAAGTCCTTGATGAGTTTACTTTTGTTCTTAAAGAAAAATTGACTAAAAGCTTAAGAACTTAAAGAATTAGAAATAAACAGCAAAAAGTTAAATAAGAAAGTGATTTAAGAAAGTTATAAATGAATTAAGGGATCAGATAAAACTTGAAATAATGGAGTATTAGGAATTTTGTTATAAGTTTGGAAATAATTATATAGATGAACAACACATTCAGAGGAACCAATTTGTTTAGTCTATCTTAAGTCACAACAGCAACTTGAGACATTATGATTTCAGAAACAGAACACGAGAGTGGGCTATAGATTCCAGGCAGAAAGAGAAAAGCAAAAGTGAAAAATTTATTGTTTAGTCAGCATTGAAACTTGCAAAATAAAATAAAACGCTTGATATTTGAAATATTTCAAAAGATTTTTAAAGAATGGGGTCAAACACTAGCAGCTTCAATTATGATTGTTTCTATGGATAGATTATGTCTAAAATATTAATATATTACTGTTGCAAAAGAGAATATTTTGGAAGATTGACAAGATAGAGATGAAACAAATTTTGCTTGATGTAGAAATATGAGGACATAAGGTATTTTCAAAAGTATTGGAAAACAAAAAAGTTAGTAATATAAGAAAAAAAAATACAATTAAAATAGAAATTTAAATAACATTAAGAAATTGACCTTTACTGAACTTACAAAAGAAGTTGGTTGGAAGAAATTTTTAGATAGAAAAATGGGAGATCAAATCCTATAACAACACCTGAATAAACTAAAGATTCAGGTTGTTAAAAGCAGAAGGAAGGAGTACAAAACTGGTTGGTTCAATTAAGTTTAAAATAAGACATGTTTGTATAAATCTATGATCCTTTTTTGCTGACCATAGGACTGAAATGTGAATGAATTACAGATTTATGTATGGGTAAAGGAGTTATATGAAGAGATATTTGCATGTAATGTTATAGGGAGTGGTGAAATATTGTTTGTATTTGTGATTAAGACTGAACATTTTTTCTTTTTCTTTCTGTACATGTTTTATTTTCTTTTTATTTTTACTTCTTAATTCAATTTGTATTTTCTTTTACTATTGCTATTAAAAAATAAAAGTTGAAAGAAAAACAAAAATATGGTAAAATATGCCTAGTAACCTTTATATTTATTTTTAAGTTTTTTTAAAAAAAAAGTATTTACCTTCATTTTAAAAAGCCTAGATTCTTCCCTACCTGAAACAAATCATCCACTTTTTTCTCAGATGTATGATGTATCTGTGAAGTTCCTTCTTTAACTGCTAACTCCAAATGTGTAAACAAAGGCCACAGGTGGTCATTACAATGAAGAATATAGTCATGAAGTGAATATTCACTATTGGATACCAGGCATAGATTTGTCAGTTCTGCATTACTGTAACCTTTAAAGACATTTTTAAAAATTACAAATACAAATTACAAACAAAAGCTTTTTTAAAAAATGGTGTACCAAATTCCAGAAATTTATAATTGTTTCTTCACAGATCAAACACTACGACTGCATGTAATTAAGGAATTATCTTTGCTTATTACATTTTGCACATCTCTTTGCCATGAAAATACTAAATATTTTTTTAAAAAATCCAAAATTCATGGTTCTTTAAAATGGAGATATAAACAATTTGAGTAGACTGCAAATGCCAACAAGAAAATGTTCAGGAAGTAGCAATGATTTTTCCCCAAAGGACATAGCAATCCATAATAATATTCCCACTACCCAATCCCAAAAAGCTAAACATCACTTATAAACATGCTAATACCCTGAAAATGGATAATTTGAAATTCAAAGACAAGTAACATTTGAGAGAAACCATTTTAAAACAGAAAACTCTTTTCATGACTCAAAATTAAGGCTGTCTTCCTCCCAGGACGGCTGCAATTTTAAGAGAAGCTAGAGACCAGGCAATTAATTCAACACCACAACTGGTTATGTGCTAGGGTGGGCTTTTTCTAAGGTCATTCCAAGTTTATTTTTCTCCACATGCACCTTTCCCCCCCCCTAAACTATGTATAGGTTTGCTCTACTTATATTCTAATTACATTTGGATGGCATTAGGATATAATGTACTCAAAGTATTCTACATTTTCCTACCAGAGTAATTTTAGAATAAAATGACCTTGATGATTCTTTTCCAACAGACCAAGAGAAGCACAGGCATCGAGTAATCTTTCTGTTCCACGTAGGGAAGTATTAAGTTGATTTGCCACATCTTCTGTGGTCACAGTGCCCCTATCTTTAAGAAGATCAAATATTTTCAGCTTACATGCCACAAACAAAACCTGCAGATTTAGGAAAAATATTTAAATGGAAATTTTGAATCCCACAGCTAAAATGATTTAAGCTGTGACAAATCAAAGAAACGCTATAGTCCATGTTGTGTAATAAAAATTAAATCCATATTGCCAAATAACAAATGTATTACCTTTGAGCCTTTAAATCCATCCAGAAGGTCTGTAAGTTTAGAGAGGCACTGTGTTACGTTTCTTGGTATTCCATTTTGAATTTCCATAGGTATCTTATAACTGCAATTGCTCTCTTTGCATTTTCTCAATTCCGTAAGTCCACCATTTGTTAGCCTTTTGGCATCTTCCATTTTTCCATTATCTGAAGAATCACAGTCTCCATCACTTAGAATCTCAAAAGTCTCCACTGAAGGGATAGAGTCATATTTTATATGATGTATGGTGTGTTTCGGGGGTGGATAATACAGTTCACCTAGTTTTTTGCAGAAGTGATTCAAAGGAAACCCAACCACATTCAAGAAATCTCCATGAACATATTCCACCAACATTCCCCCAAGGGCTTGGATCCCATATCCACCAGCTTTGTCCCTGAAGAAAAAAATGCATGTATATGAACACACACATTCAGGCATGAATTTAAAATTTTACTATTTGACTTTTTTAAAAAAATGTTTAAAAAACCACTAGTTAATAAATTAATAAAATGTATGACATTAAAAACAAAATAGCCAGGATTAAAGCTCAAGAGTTTCAGTTAAGATTCTCTTTAGACTCTTTTTAAGAACTGGAACTAATGGCATAACACCATTCCTCAAAATATTTTTTCCCCTCAGAACAGAAATAAAAAGTGATTTTAATTGCTAATGCTATTGTAGCAATTTTTAAACATAATAATCAAATGAACTTCATGCTCACTTTTTTGTCATTTACAGCTCATTTATAAACTTGCTATGAATGCTAGTGAATACAGTTTCCACCACTGATAATTTCATTTTTGTGAGAACAGAAATGAAAATTCTATTATGCTATAAATCCTGGGCCCATTTGGGAAGCCAGGTTCTGCCTGCCACAAGCCAGGACAAAGGGTGAGTGATGGAGGAGTAACACCTCCTTAAAAAA